ATCTAACTAAATACTAACAAAACTTAATTTTTAAACTAAACAGAAATGGGACACAATGCCCTGGAACTAATAGAACATGATAGAACAATTATATTTATTTGTAACAATATTTTGCATATTATCCACATTTTTCCCGAAAAAAAATGGTCAAAAGAACAGCTGGTCAAATCCTTGTCAAATCCTTGAGAGCCCTATCAACAAGGAAATTTAGATATCTGAAGCTAATATTTTGGGATATCTGATATCTTCAAACGAGGAGTTAAGGGAAATGTAATTATAATAGAATCATTTTAAATTTTTAATTATTTTACTGAACAATAAAACTCATTTATAAATATATATTATATCAATTTAAAATAGAAGGATGCGGAGATATATTCTTCGCAGGAATACACTATTTGGGTATATATCACTGAAAATTTTTTAATACGTTATTCCTAATACATTTATAAACTTTTAATTTTCTTTATAATTTTAGGATGAAAGTGACGGGGCTACGATCGAAAGTTTATCGTTTGTAAATGTGATAATCTGATTATAATTATTCAAAATAATTTACAGTTTTAATATAAATTTAATTATTTAGTAAAGATGGAATGCATAGAAAAGAGAAAAGGTGGTGACACTTAAAGAGAGTATGGTACTACAAAATGGAAAGATCTCGCAACTTCTTATGTCAACAAGACTTTGAAACATGTAAGTGTAATTTTTTATTATGACGCTCGTGAGGTTCATCATTTTTATTAACCAATTATAATTCATAATTCGATGAACAAGAGCTGGGATAAATTTTAGCCAATCATATTTACAGCAAAAATTACATTAATCTGAATTTGAACAGTACTCCTAAAAGAAAATATTCACACGATCGAATATCCAAATCAAGTTGAACAAGGAACCACGATTATGCTTACTAAATTTAGCTTTCTTATTGGAGAGTATATACTTTTAATTGCAAAGAATTGCATGCATGATTTTTGTCTTTATTCCCCCTTTTTCTTATAAAACAAAAAAGTGGAAAATGTTTGTGAGCAAAATTTTGACGTTTACTTATCCCTTCAGCAATAAAAAAAAAAAAAAAT